AGTTTCAGTATGCCTGTCGGGGGTTTAGCCCATTTTGCCGGCCTCCTAGGAGCTGGTCCAATCCCCCCCCTCTTTCATATCACTGATCTCCTTGGCTTACAGGCTAATGTGCCTGAATAAAAATTCTGCCACCACGTCGTCGGCCTTCCTCTCTAATCAAGTTTCTTTCAGTCCATAATTGGCACATGGTAATAATCATCAGCAGCTTATCATCTTCTTTGGCTTGCAAAATCATTCGACCGCTGCTCGAGCCGACTGCACCTTTTCAAGTGCCAGCCGGTAGGCCTCAGTAGACGCCAAAGTTGCTTGGCGAGTTTGCACTTGAAGATGAGATGCCCACCATCCTCGCCTATGCATCCACAGACCGGGCACTTGATATCAATATGCATCCCTCGCTGCGCCAGATTACATCGAAGGGGGTGGCTATTATGAGCCATTCTCCAGAGAAAATGCTTGATCTTGTGTGGGCACTTGACTTGCCAAATTTTCTTCCAAACCCCATCAAACTCCATACCACTCCCGCCTTGCTGACCCGACTCACTCTATTGCGGAGGATGTCAGCACAGCACACCTTGTAGGCACTTTTGACGCTGAACCGACCGTGATTATCAAAGTGCCATGCTAAGGTATTAGCTCTCCCTTGGTTAAGGCAAGGATGATTGCAGCGTCCTCCTCCCAAAAAATATCCTTCACCAGGTCGACATCCCAACTACCCGACACTGGATCAATGAGCTCATCAACATCAGTTAAGAGGCACGCCCTCCTTGGAGAGCTTGGGCATCTTGAGAATCCTCTTGGTAGCCAAGGATCATCCCAGATTTTTAGGCCCACCCCATCACCAACTCGTCATATCATACCTTTCTTCACCAGCTCAATACCCCGCAGCACACTACGCCAAGTGTACGACATAGCTGCTTTCAGTTTGGCCTCTATGACAGTAGAGTTAGGAAAATATTTCGCTTTCAGAACCTGCGCACAAAGTGAATCTGGATTCTCCCACAGCCTCCATCCTTGCTTCGCTAGCATCGCAATGTTGAAAGCATGGATATCTCTGAAGCCAAGACCCCCCTCATCCTTCGGTTTCAACAGCTGTTCTTTCCCTAGCCAGTGAATTTTGTGCTTTCCCTCCTGCTGATTCCACCAAAAATGACAAATCATTGTGCCCAAGACAAGTTGGTATTGCCTGCACCACCGCTTTGATTAGTATCTCCTTCCCAGCCCAAGACAAAAAAATTTCATTCCACCCTTGCATCCGCTTCCAAATTCTATCTTTCAGATATGCAAAGGCCCCAATCTTGGACTGGCCTACATGAACCGGCAGCCCCAAGTATTTCTCACTCATAGTTTCCTTAGTCACCTGTTGAGTTTTTTTTAAACAAAAGGCAGGAGCTCTGCCGCTCAATTAAGCCGAAAGAATATTATATACAAGAAGATTAGCCGGACGAGATGCCAGAAAGGCACCCGAAGGGCTAACCACCCCACGCGACGCAGCTGAGCACAAACACGACACACTGCCATAGGTCATCGTTGCCAAGTATGGAAGCCAAGCCGCCAGCAGCTCCAACTTCCCATGGCAGGCCACCCACTAGTCACCCCCCGACGGGACTGAAGCTAACGGCCGCCACCGGTCATCGTTGCCAAGCTCAAACACCGAAGAGCAGCTCCGACTTTCAATCGCAAACCATCGCCCCGCATCGAAACCGCGACAATAATCCAAATGCGACGCCTTCAGGAAGGGAGTGACGTCAATGGCGTTACCGTCGCACGTCCAAAGTGGACTGAGTTTTCACCCTTGGAAGACATGCTAGTGGGGAAATACGACGCCCCCAACAGGGAAGCGTCGCCGTCGCCAAGGCTTTCGCCCAAGAACCCTCTAGCACACTTGCCGGGTCACGACGCCAGACCCATGCCAGCCTTCACCGCCATCGCCGTTGTCCCGGCGCCCCACAGAAGCCCCATAAGAGGGGCATCGATGCGACGGCTGCACGTAGCAGCCGTACAGCTGCGTCGGCCGCCACCCCCTCCGACCGGGCCACACAGAGCCGGACCTGACTCTGCCGCTCACGTCACACCGCCGCACGCCGAGGCCGCATTTGACCAACGTCGTCGGCTCTGGCACCTACCGATGTCGCTGCCGTCATCACCGCCAAAGTGCCCCACCAAGTCGGGCTCCGCCCCATGTCCTGGGGCCGCTGAATCCAGACTCTAGGCCCCGAATCCGGCGCCCCCTGCCGACGCCGACGCCGACGCCTCCGTCTTGACCATAGCTGCAGACACCGTCAAGGGCCGGCCCGTCGCCTTGGCAACCTTTGGACCGCCGCCATGGGCAAAGCCGCAGCAGCCTAAGGCCATGAGGGGAGGGACGGCAGAGAAGAAAGCACCGCCCAGCCGCATGCATGGGCCCGCCACCGCCGCCGCCGCCGCAACCGCCACCGGCCGCCAAGATAGATCCGATAGCCTGGGGTCCGGATCTGGCCGACTGGGCCCCGGACCAGTGGCCCCAGCCAGCACCACCGCCACCATCAAGAGAGGAGAAGGGGAACGCGCGGAGAAGAAGAAGACCTCGCCGCCGTCCCTCACGCCTGCCACACGGACACACACCAAGGCTGCCGGCAAAGAGCCAAGGCAGCACCCTCGTCGACCTCCACGCCCGTCGCTGGGTCGGACACCGGCTTTCTTCGCGAGCGCCCGCCAACACGAGGAGGAGAGCCCGCCGCCACCATCACAACCCGGCGGGCGGCCATGCCGGCAGCCACTCAGCTCAAGCAAGGCGTGACGGGCAAGGAGGAGAGGGGTGAGAGGGAGGCGGCGCTGGCAGCAGGCCGCCCGAGTCGCCTGGCGGGGGGGAGCGACAAGGTCCAAATGTAGGCTCACTTATAACTTATTCACCTGCAGTATTGCACACAATTTGCTTCCCTTGAGGATTAGTGTTTCTACTAAATGTAATCTGGCGACTTTTTTTGTTGATCATTTGCCCATAACAATTCTCATATAGTTGTAGGATCGCTTTGCAACTCCCTACTATCCCCTTCATTTGCATGAATCAAGATTAGAGAATCATCGGCAAACAAAAGGTGTGATATGCTAGGAGCCCTGTGACAAATCCTGACACCTGCAATTGCACCATCTCTTTCTCCTTTCTTTAATAACGCCGAGAAAGCTTCAGCACACAGGAGAAACAGATATGGAGACAGGGGATCCCCTTGTCTGAGTCCTATCTGTGGAAGAAAACTTTCTGAAACCTCACCATTCACTTTAACCTGATATCTTACAGGGCAACGTATCAGGTGCAAACCAACCAACCTGTGGAAACTTGAAAACTACCGACTAGGACCACTAGATGTTGATCCAATAGATTGGGTGAGAGGTGAGATTTTTTTGCGCTTAAGCCCCCTCACCCCATCCATTAGATCAGCATCTTATGGTCCTGATTGGTAGTTTTCAAGTTTGCACAGGTTGGTTGATTTGCACCTGATATGTTGCCATCTTACAGTGGTTACGCACTCCATAATCAGCTTGATCCACTGCTTAGCAAAACCCAGCTTCCTCATCATGTCTCTAAAAAAACTCCATTCAACACGGTCATACGCTTTACTCATATCTAGTTTGATTGCTGCATAGCCCAAATCACCCTCTCTTTTATTTAGCAAATAATGTGTCAGCTCGTAAGCGATGAGAATGTTGTCTGAAATCAATTTTCTTGGTACGAAGGCACTTTGATTAGGGGTAATAATGTCCAGGAGCACATCTCTCGGCCTTTAGCAGGATGCGACTTGCATAATCTGTGACCAGCAGGACGAGACCACCGATCACCTGTTGGCTTCTTGTGTGTTCACCCACGAGGTTTGGCACAGGCTACTGTCCAGGGCGGGGTTCATGCACCTGGTGCCATCCGATGACTCTCGCCTGGCAGATTGGTGGCAGAACACGAGATCGTCCATACCGAAGCACTTCAGGCACAACTTCGACTCCTTGGTGCTACTTGTGTCCTGGATGGTATGGAAGGAGTGGAACCGGTGAACCTTTGACAAGATCACCGAGACACCATCTCAGCTGGTTGCGCTCATTCTGGAAGAAGCTGATGCTTGGATCACTGAAGGCTTCCGCTGCCTTGCATCGCTGACTGCCCTTGCTGTGTAATGGTTGCGATCTCTCCTTCTCTTGTCGCTCTTCTAGTCTCCTCAGTTAGTACAAATCTTAGCGCCACCATTGAAGCCGGTGATTTGTGTGTAAGTGTTCCTCTGGTCCGCTAACTATGGCACCTCACCGTGGTTAGCACTGGCTGTACTTTGCTCTTATTTCCCCATAATGAAGCACGTGCCGATGCACTAGCTAGCACTTTGGACACCACTTTGTAGACAACATTACATAAGCTTATTGGTCTTAGGTCGGTGACTTTCTCTGGCTTTTCCACCTTTGGGATCAAAGAAATAATAGTGTCATTCCACCCTTAAGGTAGTCGACCCCCCTGTAGCACCCCTAACACTTGTTAGATAAATTGATGCACGTTATTCATGTAATCTTAGTCAATTAAGAGTTTGTAATAGTTAGGTAAGGGAGAGTGTGATCGTAGGCGTGAGGGATCATGACTCGCCCGATTGTGTCCGGTAGACTCACGCCATGCCGTTCAGAGCGCGCGTAGTGCACGTCGCGGTGAAACGGCATTGCGATCTTTGTGCGATATGGCGTGGGGGGTTTGGAGTCTGTAAACCTCGAGCAAGTCTATAAATACAAGGAACACAAGGCCGAATAGGCTATGGTTGGTTGCAGCGTCATAATCTAGCGCGATCTTGAGCTTTCCATCTCTGAGGGTTTATCTCGCCGCGATCACCATTGGGTTCGGCGACGCGAACGATGTTTTGGAGCTTGTCTAGCTCCAACAACTGGTATCAGAGCCGGTGAGGAGGCGTTCGGTGGTGGAGAGAAGACCAGGAGGTTGCTGGGTGGTTGAATCCATCGTGTCCAAGATCGAGGAGACGTGAACCCGAGAAGCCGTCGCCATGGGCAGCAGTGGTGAGAAGGAGGAGACGATGGAGCGTGCTTGGAATCAAGCGTCGGGAAATCTGGTTTCGCCGATGCTTTCTCGCACAAACTATCAAGAGTGGTCCGCACATGTGCAATGTAATCTAGAAGCAATGTATCTGTGGGATGCGATCGAGAGCGACAAGGTCAAACGGCGACGTGATCGGCTTGCGCTCGGCGCCATGATCCGTGGCGTGCCCCCTGAGATGCACTCCATGTTGCTGAACAAGAAGTCGGCGAAGGAGGCATGGGAGGCTATAAAATCGATGTGTCTAGGTGCAGAGCGAGTAAAGGAGGTGAATGCGCAGAAGCTGCTGGCGGAGTTTGAATCGATCTCGTTTAAACCAGGAGAATCGATCAAGGACTTCGCCATTTGGATCGGGAAGCTTGCAACCGATCTAAAGGGCCTTGGTGAAACAAGTGTGGAAGACACGTGGGTCGTGAAGAAAGTTCTAAGAGTTGTGCCGGCACGCTACAATCAGGTGGCGGTGACAATTGAGATGTTTTGCGACTTGAAGACTCTGACTGTCGAAGAGCTTGTCGGACGTCTCAGGGCGGCGGAGGACAGGTTTGAGCCTTTGGCAGATCAGGTCATCGACCAGGCAAAGCCCTCTCTTCTCCTTACAGAGGAAGATGGATGGAGAGGAACAAAAGTTGCATGGTGCACACCGAGTCATCATCCTCTGGCGGCAAAGGTGGAAGCCACTATGTGAAGAAGGACAAGTCCAGAGCGCGGAGTGGTGGCAGCAAGATTGACCATGACAAGCACGACTCCGGTAGTCACCCATCGTCGGGGACGCCTCAACGGAAGGGAAGGTGTAAGAAGTGTGGTGTCTATGGGCACTGGGCGAGAGAATGCCTAAACAAGAAATCGGTGAAAGAAGATCATGAAGATGTAGCTCATCATGTCAGTGGAGACACGGACAAGAACCCAGCACTGTTGGTTGCTCAGGTGTGCAACGTGTTGCGCGTGCCGGGGACCGGTGGTCCAGGCTTGTTCCTAAATCAGGAACGAGTATTCCCTACGAAGTACGACGAGGGAGCGTGGGTGCTAGATACAGGCGCCACCAATCATATGACAGGTTGCCGAGCTTCGTTGGCAGACCTAGATGAGTCCGTGCGAGCAGCAGTGAGATTTGGAGATGGCTCTACCGTGGAGATCTATGGTATTGGCGCGGTGACGATGGCTGGCAAGAACCAGGAGCATCGCGTACTCACTGAGGTTTATTTTATCCCTTCTTTAAGATGCAATATTATTAGTCTTGGTCAATTAGAGGAGGCAGGGTGTCGGGTGGAGATTGACAAAGGTGTACTAGAAGTGTTCGAGCAGGAACAGATTGGGGTTACTCGCTCAGCTGTGATCCGTGCAGAATGAAGGAATCGCCTGTATGTCATGAAAGTCAATCTGACCTCACCAGTGTGTCTGCTAACCAAGATGGAGGAAGAAGCATGGAGATGGCATGCTCGTTTTGGGCATCTAAACTTTAGGGCGCTTTGTGACCTTGGAGTCAAGCAGATGGTGGAGGGATTACCTATAATTAGGAGAGTGGAGCAGGTGTGTGACGGCTGTGCACTCGGGAAACAACACCGAACTCCCTTTCCTCAGGCCTCGGCGTGGTGTGAGTCACAAGGGCTCAAGCTGGTACACACAGACCTCTGTGGGCAAATTACACCACCCACACCAGGAGGCAAATCTTACTTCATGCTTATCGTGGATGATCATACACGGTACATGTGGGTTGAGCTGCTGGGTGTCAAAAGTGAAGCTCTTGCCTGTTTCAAGAAGTTCAGAGCAGCAGCAGAACTAGAGTCAGGCCGTCGCCTGAAGGCACTCAGGACAGATCATGGAGGAGAGTTCAATTCGGGAGCATTTGTGGTATTCTGCAGTGAGAATGGGATCAAGCACAATACCACCACCCCATATACTCCGCAACAAAACGGGGTTGTGGAAAGGAGAAACCAAACAGTGGTTGAGATGGCACGTTGTCTGCTAAAGAGTATGAATGTGCCGTCTCGGTTCTAGGGTGAGGCTGTCAGAACAGTTGTATATATTCTGAATCGATCTCCAACGAAAAGTCTAAGAGGGCAGACTCCTTTTGAAGCATGGTTTGGGAGGAAACCAGGGGTCAAACACCTGAGGACATTTGGGTGTGTTGTTTATGCTAAGCTGATCAGCCCCGGGGTAAGCAAGCTGACTGACAGAGCTGTTCCAGGAGTGTTTCTCGGGTATGAACCGGTGACAAAGGGTTATCGTATTTACGATCCGGTGAAAGACAAGCTTATGGTGACGCGGGATGTCATGTTTGATGAATCAAAGTCATGGAATTGGGAAGGGAATGACAGCAGGGCAAATGGAGGAATGACTGAAATGTCTGATATGTTTCAAGTTCATTGGGAGGATACTGTTCCTCATCCGACAATAGCCGCTGAAGCATCTAAAAATGCTATACCTGACGTTGTTGAACCGGGGTCGCCTGCTGTGTCCATTCCATCATCAGGGGGTGCGTCCAACTCGCCTCCACACACTCCTAGTTCCATCTCTGGTGCACCGATGGTGCAATGGGCGACTTCGCCCACCGGTCAGCCTGTTGACTCTGACGGCGCTCCACTGCGATATTGGACTATACCAAATTTGCTAGAAACTATAGAAGAGTTACAGGATTTCGAGTATAGTGGCATCTGTCTTGTTGCAGCTGATGAACCGAGATCAGTTGAAGAGGCATTGGCCGAGCAGTGTTGGAGACAAGCCATGCAAGCAGAGATGCAGGCGATAGAAGCTAATCAGACCTGGGATGTCAGTGTGTTGCCACCTAAACACAAGGCAATTGGCCTTAAATGGGTTTTCAAGATCAAGAAAGACCCTGATGGGAACATAGTCAAATACAAAGCTTGTTTGGTTGCCAAAGGGTATGCTCAACGTTTTGGTGTTGATTTTGAGGAGGTATTCACTCCGGTTGCTAGAATTGAGACTGTACGAGTACTGTTGGCACTAGCAGCGCAAGGGGGTTGGGAAGTTCACCATATGGATGTCAAATCTGCATTCTTGAATGGTGAACTGTCTAAAACCGTGTATGTGCAATAGCCTCTAGGTTTTGTAGTCGGCAATGGAGACAAGGTCCTCAAGTTAAGAAAAGCACTTTATGGGTTGAAGCAGGCGCCGAGGGCATGGAATGCAAAATTGGATAGGGAACTGTTGGCTCTGGGTTTTGTCAGAAGCAAGATGGGTCATGCTGTCTATAGGAGGAAAAATAGGAACTCTTTCTTGCTTGTAGGAGTTTATGTCGATGATTTGATCATCTTTGGACCAGATGTGAAGGGCATCGAAGTTTTCAAGTCAGAGATGAAGAAAAAATTCAGCATGAGTGATTTGGGGCTCTTGAGTTATTATCTAGGAAATTGAAGTGAAACAGGGTGCAAATGGCATCACATTGTGTCAGAGTTCATATGTTGCCAAGATTCTAGAATCTGCAGGGATGAGCAACTGCAACTCATGTGAAACTCCCATGGAGTGTCGACTGAAACTCAGAAAGCTTAAGGAAGGAGAACCTGTGAATCCTACATAATACAGGAGTATAATTGGGAGCCTAAGGTACATCATCAACACTAGGCCTGACCTAGCTTATGTCATAGGTGTTGTGAGTAGGTACATGGAGGCACCTGGAAAAGAACACTGGGCTACTGTGAAACACATTTTGAGATATTTGAAGGGTACTCTTGGATATGGCTACAAGTATGATAAAGGTGCTGAACTGAAACCAATTCTAGTTGGATATAGTGATAGCGACTTCGCAGGAGATGTCGAAGACAGGAAGAGCACGATAGGGGTTGGCTATTTCCTTGGGAGTAGTCTTGTTACCTGGGCATCACAAAAGCAAAGGATTGTTGCCTTATCTTCATGTGAAGCCGAGTATGTGGCAGTAGCAGCAGTAGCGTGTCAAGGCATTTGGCTGAACCGACTGATTGCAGACATGTTGGGGACTAAGGAGATGACAGTGAAGCTACTCATGGATAATATGTCCGCGATAGCACTGAGCAAAAATCTCATGCATCACGACCACAGTAAACACATTGATACAAGGTATCATTTTCTGCGTGAATGCATAGAAGAAGGCAAGGTGGAAGTTGATCATGTTGGCACTGAAGAACAGCTCGCCGATCTCTTCACTAAAGCTTTGGGACGAGTTAAGTTCGTGGAGCAACGGAGTGCTCTAGGTGTCGTCGAGGTGCATCAAGTTTAGGGGGTGTTTTGTTAGATAAATTGATGCACGTTATTCATGTAATCTTAGTCAATTAAGAGTCTGTAATAGTTAGGTAAGGGAGAGCATGATCGTAGGTGTGCGGGATCATGACTCGCTCGATTGTGTCCGGTAGACTCATGCCATGCCGTTCAAAGCGCGCGTAGCGCACGTCGCGGTGAAACGGCGTTGCGATCTTTATGCGATATGGCGTGGGGGGTTGGAGTCTGTAAACCTCGAGCAAGTCTATAAATACAAGGAACACAAGGCCGAATAGGCTACGGTTGGTTGCAGCATCATAATCTAGCGCGATCTTGAGCTTTCCATCTCTGAGGGTTTATCTCGCCGTGATCACCATTGGGTTCGGCGACGCGAACGGTGTTCCGGAGCTTGTCTAGCTCCAACAACACTTCCTTTGTCAGCTGCTGCCCAACTACATCCCAGAAATTTTTGAAAAACGCCACCGGCGTACCATCCGGACCTAGGGTCTTCAATTCTCCAATAGAGTCAAGTGCGGCCTTGATCTCTTCATGGGTGAACTCTTTCGTGTGATGTTCGTTCATCATAGATATGACGCTGGGCTGCACCGCATCGAGTAGCTACTGCGTATGCAACACATCGTCATCCTCACTAGTCCTGAAAAGCTGCACAAAGTGATTAGTGATAAAATGCTTCTTCTCTCCTTCTTCCTCCACCCAACTCCCATTCTCCCTTTGCAATCTACCCACTCTATTTCTCCTCCTCCTCGCAGAGCACGCGTTGTGAAAATAAGTGGTGTTGGGTCACTAAAATGCAGCCAATTGACGTGTGCCCGCTGCCTACAATACATATCAATTTGATCTGCTAATCTATCCACTTTGAAGCTCCAAACCGCCTCCCTCCCCATGGCTAAGTCACTAATAGGCTCTCTTCTCCACTTCTCTAACTCCTTTGCTCTCCTTAACCGTTTCTCCAAATCCCCTAGAACATTATGACTCCAACCCTGCAGATTAGCCGCCACGCCCCTGAGACCCTCCTCAATACCACTCTTAGGATCAGCCCGCGCCCCCCCAAGCCTCCTCCACAATCTTCCTACAGTCCTCCTGCAGCCAAGACGCCTCAAATTTAAACAACTTTGCCCCGCTCCCACTTGCACGCTCCTAAAGTTTTTCAGTTAGCACTACCACTGGTCTGTGGTCAGAATGAAAAGGATCACCATTTTTAACATGGACCAGCGGGAATTTCATTCTCCACTCCGCATTTGCTATAGCTCTATCCAGCCTTTCCCGGATATGAGTGCTACCTTTCATTTGCTTATTCCTCCAAGTAAAAACATCTCCAACAAAACCTAGGTCATCTAGCTCACATACCTCCAGAACATTCTTGAACTGATCCAAACAAACTTGGGCTCGTGGCACAGCCCCTTCTTTCTCATGATGAAAAAGAATTTCATTAAAATCACCGGCACATAACCACGACAAATGCTCATCATCCTCCACATGCAAGGCTTCCAACAGCTCCCAATTTTTATATTTGAACTCAGCTTATGCTTCCCCATATATCCCTGTAAACCACCACCTCCCCCTCCCATCTCCAAAACGTCCACATCAATATGATTCTTTGATTTGCTCCGAAGAACCAAATCGACACCACTCCTCCACAACACAACAATCCCCCCCTTTTCCTTCACAATCCACCACCACCATGTTTCCCATCCCTAGCTTCTTTCTAATGGTTACCATTCTCTTCTCATCCATTTTAGTTTCGGACAAAAAGAGAATATCCGCCTCCTCCGACTTCTAGCAGCCCAGAAGCCCCCAAACTGCCAGGGAGTTTCCCAACCCCCGATAGTTCCAAGACAAGATCTTCATTGGTCACTAAAGGACCGATCCGTCGGCCCCGCTTCATTTGTCGAAACACACCTCTCCTCCTCCTTCTTGCTATTCTTAGATTGCCTCTAACCATCAACTTCCATGTCCTCCAACTCCGACAAGGACCTCTTTCTTTTCACCGGGGACACGGTTGGTAGCTCCCCCTTTTTGCCTCCACTGCGTTTCACCCTGGTGAATTTCTGATTCTTTGCTCCTCCATGTTTCACCTCTCCACCACCCTTCCCTGGACATGCATGGGCCGCCCTGTTGAAAGGTCCTAATGGCTAGAGGGGGTGTGAATAGCCTATTAAAATTTCTATAACAACACTTTGCAAACCGGTTAGACAAATATGAGGCGAAGCGAGTGTTGCGCTAGTCTACTAAAAATGTTAGCCACCTACCACAATTCTAGTTTCTATAGTCACAATTCACACAATGGCTATATCACTACACTAAGTTTATGTGCTCTAAAAGACTAACTAAAGAGCCAGACTAACCAAACTAATAAGCTCTCACAACTAGCTATACTAAAGAGCTTGACAACTAGTTTGCGGTAATGTAAAGAGAGAGAGCAAGATGGTTATACCGCCGAGTCGAGGAATGAACCAATCAATCACAAGAATCAATATCAATGAAGACCAATCACCTCAGAATCAAATGATGACATAATGATTTTTTACCGAAGTTCACTTGCTTACCGGTAAGCTAGTCCTCGTTGTGGTGATTCACTCACTTGGAGGTTCATGAGCTGATTGGCATCACCCGCCAAACCCTCAATAGGGTGCCGCACAACCAATACAAGATGAGGATCACACAAGCCATGAGCAATTTACTAGAGTACCTTTTAGCTCTCCGCCGGAAAAAAGGTCTAGAACCCCTCACAATCACCATGATCGGAGCCGAAGACAATCACCAACCTCTGCTCGACGATCGTCGCTGCTCCAAGCCATCTAGGTGGTGGCAACCACCAAGAGTAACAAGCAAATCCCATAGCGAAACACGAACACCAAGTGCCTCTAGATGCAAACACTCAAGCAATGCACTTGGATTCACTCCCAATCTCACAAAGATGATGAATCAATGATGGAGATGAGTGGGAGGGCTTTGGCTAAGCTCACAAGGTTGCTATGTCAATGCAAATGGCCAAGAGAGTGAGCTTGAGCTGGCCATGAGGCTTAAATAGAGAGCCCCCACAAATAGAGCTGTTGGCTCCTCAGTCCACTGAAATTTGAGGCGACCAGACGCGCCGGTCAGAACGACCGGACGTAGGACCCCAGCGTCCGGTCGTGTGATGCACGCCACGTAGCCCCTGCTTCAAATGCTGATCGCTCGATCTCAACGGTCATCAGTGCACTTAAGTTATGACCGGACACACTATAGTGTAGGACCGAACACAAGACCTTAGCGTCTGGTCACTTCCAGTAAGGTTCCACTCGCGAGTCACGACCGAACACGTCCGGTCACGCTAGACCAGACACAGGACCCCAGCGTCTGGTCACTTCCAGTAAGCTTCCAGAGGTGGAAATTCGTGACCGGACGCGTCCGGTCACGTCCGACCGGACTCACCCAGTGTTCGGTCACTCACGGTCTTCTTTGTGCGCTACCACATCAGCAGGACCGGACGCTGAATAGTGTTTAGCTAGAGTCCAGTCGCATGCGTCCGGTCAAGAGACCAAGGGTAGCCTTCACTACACGCCACTGACCGAACACAGGACCCAGTGTCCGGTCACTTCGTGACCAGCGTCCGGTGCACTCTGTGAAACCCTGTGTTTTCTATACAGGGCGCCGGTGAAGTTTTGAACCCTTGCTCAAATGTGCCAACCACCAAGTGTATCACCTTGTGAACATGTGTTAGCATATTTTCACAAATGTTTTCAAGCGTGTTAGCACTCCACTAGATCCTAAATGCATATGAATGAGTTAGAGCATCTAGTGGCACTTTGATAACCATATTTCAATACGAGTTTCACCCCTCTTAATAGTACGACTATCAATCCTAAATATGATCACACTCTCTAAGTGTCTCGATCACTAAACCAAAAAACTCCTATCAATTTCACCTTTGCCTTGAGCTTTTATTTTTCTCTTACTTCTTTTCCAAGTCCAAGCACTTGATCATCACCATGGCATCACCATTATCATGTCATGATCTTCATTTGCTTCATCACTTGGAGTAGTGCTACCTATCTCATAATCACTTTGATAAACTAGGTTAGCACTAAGGGTTTCATCAATTCACCAAAACTAAACTAGAGCTTTCACCCGTTTGCATGGAGCTGCTCACGTGACCACCTGGATTCTGTAGTGAAGACTTGCTCTCCTTCCCTCCCACTGTCTCCTTTGGCTTGGTCTCCTCATCTTGTTCTCACAGCGCCGGAGTGTTCTTGACTTTATAATGGAACAAAGCCTTCTTTGCGTCCCCCGAAATGGTCACGGATCCCTTTTCCTTCTCCTTCAGTGGACTCATAACCTCCTCTTCTTCCCCGGCTCTTATAGAGCTCCCTCCTCGCCCCCACCATCATCCTTCCTCCAGCTAAGACCGTCACTTCCTTTTCCACTTGCACTGCCCCAACTACCTGAACCTCCACTACCCTTACCCATAAAGCTTGGTCGCCATGGGAGGCCATGTTTTGAATTATTCACCCTACCACCATAGTCCTCCATCACCTTCTTCTCTAGGGTAAAACGTAGATGCTTGCCAAATTGCTGCACCGCACCTTTCTCCAATTGGACTTCGCATGTACAATCAGTATGACCAATTAAACCACACGTATAGCAGAAGTCTAGAAGATACACATAAACTAGAGGACACCACTTTGTCTTCTCCTTAACTCCATCTCCCAAATCAAGAATGACTCCTCTCATTAGAGGCTTGCGGATGTCCAATCTGATCTTCACACGCAAGAACTGGCCAATGGCCGCGTCATCCGCATCCCCATCTACCTCCAGAACATCATCGATCATCGCTCCAATAGCCTCCCCCACCGGTTTGTTCATGAAACCCAGCGGCATCTTCGTAATCCTCACCCAAATTGGAATTGACGAGAACTCGATCTCATCAATTGTCTTCTCACCATCAAAATCCGCCATGATCACCAAGTCTTTACCGAACATCCAGGGACCATCCTCTAGAGCACGTCTCTTTCTCGATCTCTAAAGGAACGTGAAAAGAAAATGATTTTCACCCGAGTCCCTACATTCGACCCCCTTCAAAGGACACAAAATCCTCCCCATCGAGAGCTCTAAGGATTCTACTCGCACCAGTTTCTCTACCAAAACCTTACCAACTGCCTGTGGATTGTCTCGCATCTTGATCCCCGCCTGAACACCACCCAAATTGATGCTCTTTTTCTCCGTCTCTAAAAGCTTCATCTTCCCTAGGAGATCAACGACCTTATCGGCCCCCGAACCCATCTCCGCCGAGGCGACCCCTAGGATTAGGATACCCTAGTGGATTGGCGACCAGAAACCACCAGGAAGGCTAGCAGATCTTGGCTGGGCTCCTCTCGAAGATTTTGACGTGGATTTGAGCATGGGTATGGGTTGTGGAAACAAGATCGGATCAGGACTAATGCACATATCAAGAGAGGAAGGAGTTAAAACCCTAGTCGCCTCACATGAAATTTTCCCTGAGTCGCCCTTCCAAGCGATCATCTTAACAATGATGAATAATCATGGTTTGTGTTTAGCACAAAACAAAAGATGTGTTGTCAGACTTTCTACAACTTCCTATCTTGAACCTACGTCTCTTCTTATACATATTTCATCTGGCGAACGAGTGAACTATCTGTACAATAATGCAACGGCACCCACATGATATTTGGATATCCTACTATGCCGGTAGGCAAAACCCAACATGGAGTATCTACTTGAGTCAAACTCAGCCACCTCTTGTAGTCTGTTATTCTTCATGTCTACAGCAATCACCCAAGCTTTATCATCATCAAACTCGATTTTGGCCATGAAGCAAACAATATGATCAGTATCCAAGCTGAGCCTGGGTTGTGATATGTGAAGATAGTTTAAGGGTAAGAAAGGCCTACCATCAAGGCCCTCAAGCTTCAGAAGGAGATGAAAATTGAGGCTGTCTTTAGTGTCCATCTGGAAGGATTCCATGTGGCAGACCAGTTCCCAATTGTCATTCAAAAGAGAGCAAGCAGACAATGGCCTGGTGAACATGGAAGACACCCAACCCGCCCAACCATCATCATAGAGTCTACACTTGCGGACATACTTAAAGTGACCCTTGACAACAGCAATGTCTCAAGAAAGGCGGGCATTGCCCATGATCATCGCGTCTTGTCGGTGTGGAAGCGGGACATAGCGAAGCCAGGGCTGGTCTTGGACTCGAGACAAGTCACAAAGGAGCACTATCGGAAACAGTCGCTTTGCCGAGTGTCATAGGCACTCGACAAAGCCTAAAAAACACTTAGCAAAGGGTTTACCGAGTGTAACTCTCGGCAAACAGCACACGACATCTACAGTGTCAGCAAATGGCTCTTTGCCGAGTGTTTTCTATCAGGCACTCGACAAAGACTTTGCCGAGAGCTAAAACCGACGCTCGGCGAAAAAAAGTAACGTGACAGAGCGGAGACGGTCACAGCGTGTTTGTTGAGTGTCAAATCTCAGGCACTCGGCAAACATTCCTAATTTGCCGAGTGTTAAATTCTAGGCACTCGGCAAATTTTGCTTCTTTGCCGTGTGTCCCAGTCCAGGCACTCGGCAAACACTTCCTCCTTTTCCATGTGTTCCAGTCCAGGCACTCGGCAAACTTTGCTTCTTTGCCATGTGTCCTAGTCTAGGCACTCGGCAAACTTTGCTTCTTTGCCGTGTGTCCAAGTCCAGGCACTTGACAAACTTTGCTTCTTTGCCGTGTGTCCCAGTCCAGGCACTCGGCAAACACATCCTCATGACACATAATTTTGGCTTGTTTGCCGAGTGTCATAGCGTAGACACTCGGCAAAGAAGTCATTTTAGTCCCAGAATGCACAGAATTTTGCCATGTGTACACTTTGCCGAGTGTTTTAACCCTGGCACTCGGCAAAAGGCCTCTTTGCTGAGTGCAACACTCGGCAAAGCTACCACAAATAATTAGTTTATTAGGTTCGGTCACAGCCACGTACCACATTTAAATAAACATCACATCCATCATAGATAGTTCACAATAGGCATCACAGGTAGTTCATATAGATATATCGACAACACATAAATGCAAATAAACTTCAGAATCATAAGTAGGTTCATTCACAACCACAAATAGTCATAGGTAATCCACAAATGCAAATACAAATAAAATCACAAGTAGTCACTTAGGCCATGAGTTCCACTACGATAGGGCTGGGTCATGAGGCTCATTCGATGCCGCCGATTGATGCTGCACAAAGGAGAAGAGATTGCATGTGTGAGACAAGATTAAACAACATGTATGGTCTCTCTGCTGCCTAACTAGTATAACCCTTACAACTATTAGCAATATCTTCTCAGATGCATTGTACTCTAGTATGATTGCTTAAGTACTAGTTGGTAACAAACATATAGCATTAGTCACTAAGTTTCTAGTGTCTTGGAATTTTTGTAAGATTGATTCTGCATAAACTAGATTATAAGGTTATAAAGCGACTCACGGTGCCTGAAACAGTATTTGGAGCAGGTTGAGGAGGAGGGACTGGAAACGGTGGTGGAGGTTGACCGATTGCAGCATAAACACCCCTCATATATTCAAACATCTGTAGCTCCATCCTCTACCGCTTTGCCTCCATCTTCGCCTCTAGCTCCTCTTGGCGCCTCGTTTCTTGTTCTAGCTGGGCCTACAATATTTCATCCTAATGTTACAATTGAATGCAAAAGTATGTAAAAATCAATGAACGTTGAATAAAACAGAAATAACCTGGAGTGCGTTCATCTGGAACCGTGTAGAGTCTAGCCGTGGGCGTATCACCAGACTAGAACCCGTGCTCCGTGCTCAAATCTGGGAGAGAGTGGGAGTACTGGCCGTGTCGATGGTGCCGTTGCCAATCCAGAACTGGCCATGCTTCTTGCCTCCTCCTACCCTCATGACTACTTCTCCATCAAGGTCATGGACGCTCGGATCATACTCTAGGCGATGGACCTGCCTTGCCATCGATGTGTATCCATCGAGACAGCTGTGGACAGACTCGTTGTACGACGAGGGCGGGTCCTCAGGGTTGTAGGCGACGTCGGACATTGCCTTCCCCTTGTGGGCCAAAGCATATGCCACAAACTGGGAGCAAGGCTCGCCACCATGTGATGCCGACTGCAAAAAAAACAATATGATTAGAAATTATGCAGAGTTGAGCGTTAGAATAAAGAAATGAATTCGCGTACCCATCTAGCCGCGTATTCTGAGAGGTTGAGGTTGCCTTGATGGTGTGGTGCACCCGACATCAGCAAACGCCGCTCCCGGCAAGCGTTGTGATTCTCCTCCCACATGGGGTCGCACCACCTGTCCACCATCCGGGCCCAGCACTGCAAATCATAGGCGCACCACCACGGAGGCACCTACGTCATCAAGTATATGACATAAGAAGATGAAATTAAGCGTAATTAATCTAAAAAAATTAAATTAAGCGTAATTAATCTAAAAAAATAAGTATTAATGTTCTATATTTACCTTCAGGTATTGTTCCAAGGTCAGGCTCATGGTTCTTGCCGCCCTTTTAGGGATCCTCTCTCTAAGAAATTCCATGTGGTATTGGATCACGGCCTGGATGCGCGCCTCATAGTGCATGTCCTTGATGAGTTTCTTGGAGGCTTTGTCAGCCACAGCATCCGCCTTGGCCTCGTATCCCTCCTCGCATCTAAAGAAATCCTTCATATAGACGCGATGTATCCAGTCATTCTTTCAAGAATGTCCAATCAATGCGATGTATTGAGCAATGTAGTGCGAGAAAGACTTACCCAAAGCTCGGCCTTGACACGCTGCGCCTTGTCGGTGAAACACCTGCCATCCCAATCAGTGGTGTCAGGGACGACGGCATAGTGGGCCCACATGTAGGCCGGCTCAACAGTTCCACCGAACTGCACTAGGCCAGGGAACTTTTCCTTGATCAAAAGACCAAGGATGCCATTCACATGGCGTGCGTGATCACCCCCACTGACCTTCCTCCAACCCCTACCCAAGTGATTAAGATAAATTATTAGTTTTTATTATAATTTTGAACATATCAAATGAAAAATTAGTGATAACATATAAAGTTACTTACTTGTCTCCATCGGGTCAAATCAGTGGGCGTCTCTCAAGAGGTATCGGTCACCTCAGGAGGGTCGAGGGACCTCGCAACCACACACGCGATGAAGTAGAGGAAGAGGTACCCCTGTCTCCTCCTCCACCCCTACCTCCTCCTCCTCCACCTGTACCTCCTCTGCCTCAGAGGATGAGTGAGCGGAAGGTAACTCACAGGCGACGAAGGTACAGGCGATGGTGGCCTCATCTTGCCTCCACCCTTCCCTCGACCCTTAGGTCTACCCCGAGGTCTCTTCCCAGACCCCTCAGCTGCATCGGATCCTTTACTCATCGCTGTCGCTTTTGAGTAAAGCGACATTATCCTCCTCATACCGCCCACCATTGTTCAATCACCTGCAATTAAAAAGAGTAAACCAATTAGCACAGATAATACATCAAAATAGATGCAAAATAAACAAAACATACTTAGAAAAATAACATGGTATGACAAATAATAAATCAATTAGCACGGATCATACATGTATTAGAAATAATCATCATCATCGGGATTAGCTGGATCATAGGTCTCATCATCACTATCACGCATGTCGATATAATCATCCCCGTGCTCCGAAGGAGGAATGTCGTTATCACCATCGTTGCTTAGATGTAATCGCTAAAGTAATTCTATGTCCTTCACATTCTGAACCTCATCTCTAACGTCCTCGTCAACACCACTTTCATTGTCTTCTTCCATACCCTGAGCTTCAGTTAAGTCTATCTCAAAACTCCCTTTGAGCCCATCTTCTTAAAAGAACCCTTCGTCATATGTGTTGGGGTCTATGTTGTAATCTTGATTGTTTGGGATAGGTAGTTTACCATGTGGCGATACCTTGTACACAACATCCCAACCCTTAAGATGGTCTACAGTTTGGCACGGGTATGAGAGATAATAAACTTGCGTTGCCTGTTGAGCCACAATATAGACATCGTCTCCTGGTAAGACGGATGATTGTCGAATTTCGACTAGCCCAAGATTAGGGGCCCGCCTCACTACTTTAGGATCAAACCAATGATATTTGAATATAACGGGATTAAGAGGTTTGCAACCATGAAACATGAGTTCGTATATTTCTTCAATTCTTCCATAATACTCAACCCCATCTAAGCCTTGCGTAAAAACTCTAGTTTTTGTGGTTCTTCGATTGACCGTCTCTGCTCGTGGCTTGTT